AAGGCCAACACTAGTGAAGAGGAAAGAAGAAGATGAAATTGTCTCACATTTGCTCTCTCTCTCTCTCTCTCTCTCTCTCTCTCTGCGTAAACGCATAACTATATTGTTATATAATTACCGTATTATTGGTTTCAATGAACGAGTTTTTTGGTAATGAATCGATTGTAAAGCCAGACATGCATTCAGTAATAAAACAGCGTTTAGTTGTTGTGCTAAATGTTGAGCACCAGAATAACGTGATCGATATCGCACAGCATACATCTCTCTTGATAACAAACTCCAACTGCCCCTGGCAACACATATTAACCAGGTGAATTTAGCCCTCAGGTTTGTAACCAAGATTGTTGCGAATAATATTCAAGTAAACCACACTTTATATCATTCATTTAAACACTGTTCAATTGCATTCATGCCATAAGCGATGTATGGTATTTATAGACCGCATTCTTACCTTATTGTTATTTTACATGAGTCTTAAAGGTCACATACCATTTAGACCATGATATTATTGCACAACTGAATATACCGGGGTAAATATGCCGCACTTAACAGTATCGATTCAAGCCATGTATCAAAAATCAAGTATTCATTTAACCATAAGCTCACAAAACTCAAAAATAAAATTCATCTCACATTAGAACCGATAACACAAACTAATAATTTTTAATTATTTATGTTTAGCAATGGATTTGAATCCCCAATCAGTGATCACTACTAAAGTTATGATAAATCAATGTTAATGTTCTGTTAAATATTGTTTAAATTAATTTCCTATTTATATCACAACTGAATTGATTGCAAAACATAACGGATTACAAGAATTTATAATCCAATCGATTATCAATCTCTACGAAAATAGTAATCATCATAAAAAGGATCAAATATTAACGATTATCAGTAATATTATAAATAATTAATTGCAACATAAAAAGTAAAACAGAAACAAATTAACGGCTCATTAATTGTCTACACATTTATTATTATTTTTTCGTTAACCAATGTATACAATAGTGTTGTGTTGTGTGTAATAAATTGTGGTAAAACTTATACACGGATTTTTCAACGGAGACTTTCAATGAGAAAAATCTCAGACACAAAGCAAACACTACTGGAGATTATAAATCAATTAAAAAATACATTCATAAAAACCAAATCAAAAATTTAGATTTCGTGTAAACATTATATAGTAAAACATTTTTGGATTTTCATTAGTTGTGTTCATTTGTTTTAAATTGCAATTTATAGGGAATAAAATTTCGGGACAAATATCGGGTAATTATTATTATAATTAATTTTAGTGGACGGGAAGGGGTTATGGGGAGAGATAGAGGGCTGTTATTGTGCTGTATTTCACTCTAGTTTGATGAGCTCCACGTCGAAAGTGAGCGTAGCGTTGGCCGGTATAACACCGGGATGGCCTTTACTGCCGTACGCAAAGTCCGGCGAACAGATCAGTCTCGCCCTCTGGCCAACAGACATCTGGTCCACACAGCGATAGGAGAAGAATAGTGGTAATTAGCTTATGGTAGAGGTATTGGACGATGTATTGATGACATACCTGTGCGACGCCGACGTCCCAGCCTTTGATCACTTCTCCTCTACCGATCTTAAACTTGAATGGCTTTCCTCTATCGCGCGATGAGTCAAACTTCGAGCCATCGGAAAGAGTTCCTGATGATGACATACCTGTGCGACGCCGACGTCCCAGCCTTTGATCACTTCTCCTCTACCGATCTTAAACTTGAATGGCTTTCCTCTATCGCGCGATGAGTCAAACTTCGAGCCATCGGAAAGAGTTCCTGAGGAATACAAACGCAATCGTATTTCAATATCAATCAACACTCTGTGGCGTTAGTGGTAAAGGGAGGGGCAGTGGTGTAGTGCCGGTGCTCTACTGTACTGTACATTACATACCTGTATAGTGTACGACAACCGTTTGTCCGGTCTTCGGATAAGTGGATCCTATGGTTAAGAAAATGAGATCAATATAGATGTTGTGGTCAGCGGTCAAGAGGTGTTTGTCTATTGTCTTAGTTGGGTATTAGCCGTACAAACAATGCGTGAGTTAGATATGAATCGCTATAATCGTTGTGCAAATACAGGCTTTCAGTGGTATTTCTCTCACTCTTTGGTTAACAAACAGTTATTAAAAAGAGTTTAAAACAAAAATCAATGCTTTTCTATATGAGAGGCAAAGGTGTGAAGACATGAGCGAAATGTTTGTATTGATAATCAATACATTGAGCTTAACGTTAGGGTTTGCAAGCATTGCAATGCAATGCCTATTGTCTCGTCAAATACCGGCGATTATCATAACCATTACAAACCCATTTACATGGACTGCAATCTACAAACTAAACTAACCATAATGTAACCGGTGTGA